TGATGCCAAGATTTGGGGTGAGGTGGGTATGCTAGAAGGGAGGGACCGGATACAGCTGGACCTGGACAGGTTACAGGGGTAGGTGAATGAGAATAGGATGGGATTTAGAACCAACAAGTGCAGAGTGCTGCACTTAGGCAGTAGGAACCAGCAGCATACCTATAGGCTGGGGAACTCCCTTCTCGAAAGCACAGTGGCAGAAAGAGATCTTGGAGTCATTATCGATTCCAGAATGAACATGGGCTGCCAATGTGAGGATGCAGTCAGTAAGGCCAGCTGCACCTTGCCATGCATCCACAGATGCATCACAAGCAGGACCAAGGCGGTGATCCTCCCCCTGTATGCGACACTGGTCAGGCCACAGTTGGAGTACTGCATCCAGTTCTGGGTGCTGCACTTTAGGGGAGACGTGGCCAGCATTGAGAAGGTCCAGAGGAGGGCCACTCGCATGATCAGGGGACAGTAGGACAGACCCTATGAGGAGGGGCTACGGGACCTGAACCTGTTCAGCCTCCACAAGAGAAGGGTGAGAGGGGACCTGGTGGCCGTCTATTAAAGAAAAATAAATAAATAAATAAATTGGGGGGGGGGGGCAGTGGGGAAATGGGAGAGACCCTGTTCACCCAAGCACCTCCCAAAGTAACAAGGAATAATGGCCCTAAGTTGTCTGAGTAGGTTCAGGCTGGACATTAGAAGACACTATTTCACAGTCAGGGTGGCTAGGATCTGAAACCAGCTTCCAAGGGAAGTGGTGCTGGATCCTACCTTGAGGGTCTTTAAGAGGAGGTTTGACAATTACCTGCTGGAGTCATGTGAGCCCAGTATTCTCTCCTCCCCAGGGCAGGGGGTCAGACTTGAAGATCTACTTAGGTTCCTTCTGACCCTACATCTATGAATCTAATCAGAGTGTCCTGCTGGGCCTGGCCACATCCCCCCCTCAGCTCATCACTGTGGAAGGAAAGGGAAGCTAGCACCCTCTGACTTCTAGCCTGAGCCACTGCAGGCATGTGCCTACATTTCTGGGATGTCTGCCCAGTTACAAACTGGTTCAGCCTAGCCAGGTTAGACTAACCTGCAAAGATTGAATCAATTCAGGCTCAGGCTTTTTGAATGTCTGTCCCTAGCAAAAGTCTATCAAGGAGTGTCCTGTGTCTAAAAGTTGAAAAACACTGCACTAGAGGACATATTTGCTTAGTTAAAGTCCAAATATTATTTACTAGAAGTCATTTATATTTATTCTTGGAGTTCAAAAAGATATTTAGATGTTGTGGTATTCAAAATATTCTGCAGGAGCATGTATGAGTGTTTAAATCACTGGAAATTGAAGTGAAAGAGCAAATATTGATAGGAAACCTAAGCTGCACATTTATACCCCCAGTTTGCATGCACTTCTTGTGCCCTACAGAAGAACACAGGCCAGGCCAATAAATGGACTATTGCCAAGCATAACTGATCCGCATGTTTTCAAAGCACATTTCCATGTTTTTTGGGAGCCCAAAAAATGTACATAAACATGTTTGCACACATCATGGGCATGGGCTGGTGAGGGCTTATAGCTGAGAATCATGAATGGAGACGAGCATCTCCATTCCTTCCAGAATTTGGTATATAAACTATACTGAGGGTGGAGCCTCTTGCCAAAATTTTTTACTGGTGCACTTAGGAGGCTGTCCTGAACTGAACCACATCTTCCCAAATCCCATTTCAGTATCTTAATCCTAAAAGTGAACTTTCCTCCAAGCAGGGAGATAGCAGTGAAGTAATGTAGGGGTTGTTACACTTCAACTTTTTAAATGCCAAACATTATAATTATGGTAACAGCAACAAATAACTTACGATGCTTCTACAACTACAGCCACTCCAGCAGGCTTCAGAGCCTGAGTAATTGCCATGGCAATTTGCTTGGTAAGTCTCTCTTGAACTAGGGGAAAAAAGAACATAGGGATTTTACATACACAATTAATTTCCAACACTCCTTATATACTCTGGAAGGAAATGCATTCCTAATGTACTTCAAATACATTCCATCACATTCCGCCTCTTACTAGAGAAAATAAATGATCTCAGCTAGAGTGTTTTATCATCATCTCTTCAGCATAACTTGCAGTTGGTGATAAGTGCTGGATAGACAGCTCTAGAACCCTGAAATCTGGCTTTTAAGTAAACTATTAAAAACTCTCCAGACTGCCAAGCTAACAAGACCTCCCTTACTCCCCGTGAAAACAATCCAAAAATCATTCAGTTGTCCTCTTCCGCTAACTCTCATTGGTAGCCCATGCACTAAACACTATACCTACTTCCTCCAAAAATGGGAATGAATATATTTCCCATGGTATACTCATGAACTTCTCATAATATTGACCCCTCTGTTACTTGGCAAGCACTGAGGCCCTAGACCTAGAGTACCATACTGATGTGAACTACATGCTTTAAAAACTTCCAGTGATGTTAACAAGGGTTTGAGATATAGGGATCAATTTGGAGGGTTCCAATTCGATTCGGAGAGATTAAAGGGTCTCCTGATTTGATTCAGATTCGGAGACCTGGCCACTGAAATCAGGCCAAATCGAATCAGGGACCAAAGCTTCGCACAGCCCTAATATACATCTTGCAGCACAGTAAAGTTAATACTGTTTTCATTTGATGTTTTCTGCTCGTTAATCCTTAATAGCATTAAAAAGAATACCCCACTGGTTGAACTACCAGATCAGGAAAGTACTTAAATCTATGACTAAGCTTAAACAAGTGTGTGATCTTCAGTAACTTCAGCTAGACTGCTCACTTTTTAAAAATTTGGTATGTGCTTAAGTACCTTGTTTCGCCACCCTACTTGTTTAACATTCTGGCCCTATAGATCAAATGAATGGAGGGGGTCAATTCATACTTGCCTAGATAGGACCCCAGGGCTCCACATTCCCATCTGACCCCACATGCCCGAATCACCCAGTCCCATGCACTGGGATTGTGCCCCGTACTGCCTTGCATGCCTGATTTAGAACACAGAACTAGGGCTCCGCAGAAATCCCCACAGATTTATTTGGAGCCTCACAGGCCAGATGACCTGGCACTGGGGGCTGGATATGGTTTGCAGAGCAGGTGCTGAGCACCCCAAACTAAAACATAGTTCAGTAGAACAAAGATATATTTAAAAACTGATACCAACCTTGCAGTCTTCGACTAAAGATTTCAACAATTCTGGAAAGAGAGTTGTAGCAGAAGAATATGAAAAATTTCATTTTTTTCAGAAAATAAACTTTCAGCTTTGCTTTGTAGACTTTTTGGGTATTAACAAGGGTATCATCTCGGCTAGGAGGTTAAAACTACTTTAGTGTAAGTGACTTAACTACATAATATGAAATTAACTTAAATACAGCTGACATCCAAGCCATTTTAGAGTAACTTTCATATAGTATCACAACTGTATTCTTTGTAGAGTTTTCTTTTGTTTAACTCTGAAATGCTGGAACTATTGCATACTCTAAAGTGTACATGACAGTTAAGCACATATTTTACTGTGTACATTAAAAATGGGCTTAGAATCCTTCATAGCTGGTATAGTTAAAAAACCCCACCTTCCTGATGGAACACTGTCAAAACCAAAACCAAACAAAAATAAAAAAGGTAATATTTAAACTGCCATGAGATTTATTTTTAGTGAGTGGACTTTTATCTTTTGTCTGTGCAACATTTATAAAGCAACATCATAGTGCAGAAAAAGGAGATTGTAAATTACAACAGGGTCACTACCAAAAGTTGTCTACTTTTAACACGTGGATTGCTCTTTTAGTACACCAAAGTTACCTAAACTCAGCCCCCTAAAGAGAAAGAGTCACTTTTTTAGTGACAAAGAAATGACTCTATATATAAAAAAAAATAGCCTATATGAAAACTTTATTACCATGCATCAAGGTGCAAGTTATCAGTTAAATCCAGCAGATGAACCAGCATGGCTTCCAGCCAATAGAATATACAGCTTCCCCACAATTTGCTCTTAGTTAAGCAGATCAAACATTCAGCTCTTCATGCAACCCCCCAGCCTCCAAAAAAAACTTGGGCAATAAGATGAGCACTGAATTGTGCCCACAACAAACCTACTTGAGACTAATGTGGTGAGTCTGTTGTAAAGCTAAGAGCCTCTCACTCAGAATGTTCTCCCATCTTTTAGTGATTAATCAAAAGTGGTCTCAGTTCACAGATTGAGAAGTCTGGGTGGGAGAGGCTAGAGGAAGGTCAGCACATCTGTGGTACAAGAGTACTGCAGTCCTAGGCCACAGTGTTGGCTGTGGAGCATTAACCCTGTTTCTGCTGTACAGTGGGAGAAGTAGTGCTATGTCTCTGTCTGAAAACAACTCAGTGCACAGCTCCTTACTAGGCTGTGTCCTCAGGGTAGGACTTGGGTCTTAGACCTTTGTGACAGCATTCAACAAAGTATTAAGTTGTAAACATAAACATACTTACCTTGCAAGTTTGCTTAATCCAACCACTTTCTTTCTTGGTAAGTATCCAATATGTACCTACAAACATGAAGAGCAGAAACCTAAGTATAAAGTGATTAATACACAACCCAATTCCAGAGAGAGCTGAAGAGTTAGGGTTAGATTACAGGTTTATTTGCTAGGTCTAATTGTAAGGAATGTTAGTAGTGTTAAGGTTATCATGAGCTAAAGATCAATAGCATGTTAAGGGTCTCTAGCATGCATTGCTCAGACTGGCCATTTGAGGGCTGGTGAGTAAGGCTGCGTCTGAGCCTGGTGGAAAAAAAAAAAAACAAGGACATGGGCCATGGAAGCTTATGTAAAGTTTAGTTACAGGAAACCCTCGCTATTCGTGGATTTGCAATTTTGAATATTCCCGCCACCACCAGCCTGCGCTGTTTAAGAATGCAGACATAGAACACAGATGTTCATGAATGTATTTGCAGACTTCCACATTCTAGAGATCGCCGTGAATGGCGAGGGTCTCCTGTATTTAGAATAATTTTTATTTAAATAAAAAGCAATAAAAAAAAAAAAAAGAGACTGTAGACTCTCAATTGTCTCAATAAATTGTGAATGGTGAGAGAGGACTGGGCCTTTTGGGGCCCCCTAACTGAGCCCCTAGCATAGCCAGCCCCTTTGGCTTGAGACTAGGAAAGGCTAGAATAGGCTGCAAGTGGGGCTGTCAAGTGGGGCGTGGGGAAGGGATTGGTGTAGGTCTGATGGGGAAGCCGAGGAGCCCATCCACAGTTCCTTCTTGGTGGGGGTGGGGGTTGTTGGTTCTGGCACCCCCAGCCCCTGGTAACCCAGCCCTCTGCAGTTTCCTCCATGGTCTCACCAGCTGCCAACAGAGTTCAGGAGGATGCAAAGTTTGCTCTTAGAGCAGAAGAGTAGGAAAGACTGGGAATGGTGCATCCTGGGAGGCTAGAGGACTCTAAATTGGTAATTTCGTCAGTTGAAATGCTCAGAAGTTCACTTAGAACTAGCTAGTTAACACCATTCAATGATAATCCTCCCCTGAAGTAGTGTAGCTTTAAAATGCCTAAAGAGTACTTGGCACTAATTAACAAACCTGAACCTGCAATCTTCCAAATTTTAAGTACTCTTAACAAGAGCGAATTGCAATGATAATCTCATCCTTATATAAAACTAAGGACCCCAAGGTGCATTTTGCAACTGAGAGATGGAGTGCCACACCTGCACAGAGGTCCCATCAGTGGGGATAAATACAGGCTCAGCCATCTACCTACTCCGTATAAATTACAGGAACACAACTCCAGGAGAATGTCTACATTGCCTCCTGTGTGAGACCCTGCATGCCACCAAAACATAAGCCCTACTTATTATCTCTTCCATACCTGTATGCTCTGACTCTAGATAGTGAGCACAGTGCTAGGCTATGCGCTTGGGATCATGCCGAGCTGTCTACTCTGCATATTTGTGAGTCTAGGGGCATGCAGGAGGGTATAGGTAGTAATGCTGACAAACTAAAAGCCCCAAGCTGAAGATTCTGAGTGTGTGCTTTCCCCTCTGTATGTCAGTAGAAGTTTCAATGATTTTAGCAAGAGCAGGATTGGACCCCTTAATTTGGGCAAAGGTCACCACGAAGACAGACTTGCAGGATCCATATCCTGTCAGTGGAGAACGTAAAAAATGTAGCAGGTAGGTTTAAAAAAAAAAAAAGACGATTTTTTTTTAAAGTATCTGATTTAAAAAAAAAAAATTCAATAGGATTTGTTTTAAATTACATATGCATTTCTTTCCACAGAAGCCTGCTTAAACTAAATTTGAAATTACTACAGCTGTGACCTCACTAAACTTACTATAGTTTATTCAGACCATTTAAATTAAATAAAAATAATATTCAAAGGCTGTATCTACACATTCACTGTCCTGCAAGCTGACTAATTAGTTCTGCAGTAAAACATGACTGTCTACATGAGTGCTGGTATTAGGACACAGTAGATTAATTAACTCCACCATAAGTTAGTACTGTCCTCAACAGTACTCTCTTACAGTGGAGTTATTAACCCCCTGAAAATGCTCACATAAATGGTAACTGGAGCTGGCTATGGCACAGTGTTAAAGTCCAAGGGCTGCCTGCCACCTGCTCCATACTTTAGGACCCTCATGCTCCAGTCAGCCTCTCTGCTGCAATAGTTTAACATAAATCATCAGTGAAAACAAATTAATAAACCTGGTAAATGATATTTCTAACATAATAAAGAGTAAAAATTAAGGGTCTGAATAAAAGTTGTTGCACATAAATGCTTACATGAGTATCCACCTGGCTAGCCACAAGTACCATAATGAACTGAATTGAATTTAGTTGCAAAACAATGTGATTAAATAGTTACCAAGCAATGAGAATTGATCATTCTTTAGGAAAAAATAAATAAGAAGTACAAATGCATAACAGAGCACCCTGTGCTCTGTTACTATCAGGGGCCAGAGCAGCAGCCAGGCAGCCTACAGCTTATGGTGGTAATCAAGCACCCAACTGGGGAACAGGGCCCAGCTGGAGTATAGGAGGGCTGGGTTCCTGAACTGCAGGGCAGCAGTCTGCTGCTACCAGCAGAGGAGACAACATCCAGCTGAGCTGTTGCCTGGATCATCTTGGAGGTAAGAGCTGGGACTATGGGGAAGGAGGAGGCCCCATGGTCCTAGGCATGACCAGAAACTGCACCCTGCTAGGAAAGGGTGGCCTGGTAGAGCTACCTGTGGCTGGGTAGCTCCCCAGAAATACCAGGCCAGTTACCTCCCCAGTGAAAGGTGGGTTTGATCAGGAACATCAAGATGTGGCAGGAGAGACAGGAGAGTGGCTAGCTCAGATACAAGTGGGTGGGCCTATAGCGAGATGATTGGCCCCAGGATGCCCACTTATAACTTTATTTTGCATTTTGTAACAATAGATTGCAGAACTCTCTCTTTACTGATTTTAATCACAATTAAAGTGAGCAATATAAATCACTTGGTTTTTTGTGTTTTTTTTTTTTTTTTTAAATCAAATCCACCTGGCCATGTAGATTACATTTATATGTGTAACAAGTAGGATTTTAGTAAATCCTTACTAAAGTTCTACTTGTTCTGCATATGGATGCAATAAATATCCATAATGCTGCACACTCCACCTAGTATGGGTTTCCAGGATAAGCATCTGAGGCATAGGAAGAGACAGTAACAAGTAGGGAAAAAAGCATTTGAAAGAGTGATGCTGAAGGAGAGAGAAAAGCTTGTACAAGAGGAAAAAAAACAATGTAGGGAGCGGAAGAGAGCTACAAGGAAGAGGGACTATTCAGATCTTCATCCATACAGTAAGAGTTGCGTTTGTGCAACAAATTGAGATCCAGCCAATGAACGTAATGGATTTTTTAAAAGTTTGGGTTTTGCTTGACATTTGTCAAGCTTGATTTCTGAGGATATTTTCCCTGAGGTCTCTTCTACACCCTTTATGCAAGCAAGCCTTCTACTACAGTCACTCTAGTGCCAGATTTAGGCATAAGCTAAAAAAGCTGCAGCTTAGGGCCTCATATTATGAGAGGCCTCTACACCAACCCCTGGGCCATGAAGGGCTGGCTGCCAGACTGGAAGTACCATGGACTGGTAAACCGCAGTCCCACAGAACTGGGAGGAGAGGCTGCAACTCCTCCCACAGGGCCCACAGCAGCCATGGTTGAGGTTTGGGCCCACCTACTCTGCCTGGGGGATGGAGGCATCTTTACTTGTGTTCCGGCCAGAAATTCAAGCCATGGGGCTCTGCAGTTTGCTGGGCTGCAGCTGCTTCCCATCTGAAGTTTGCTGGGCCACAGCATAGAACATTTGGGAACCCCTAGCTCAGGGCCCCACCCTATCATAATCCAGCCCTGAGTCCCACTAACTTCAACGGAGATTTTTCTGTTTAAGGAGTACAAGAGAAAGTGTCCCCAAATGCCACCCCAATTCCCTTACTTTGCCTGAACTGCTGCTCTTTTCTGGCCATCTGTGCATGCACTCCAGGGAGGTGGGGGTGCATTTTAATTTAGAGTGGTTCCCAAGAGCCACTCTGAGTGCCCACAGCATCTTATGTATTCAGCGTCCCACATTTCAAAATGCGGATGGGGGTTCTTTAACTACAGCTTGTTCAATTAGATCAAGTCTGCTCTGATGTGTTCTAATGAGAGTGCCTCAGAGCACATGTAAAGAAGTGCCCTCTGCTCCCTGCCCATCATTTGCGCTGCTTTCTACGCCTTGCCCTATTTGCTATGTGCAACACATAGGGGCTGCCCTCTGTAATAGTCAACTTGTTTTTAAAAGCAAACCAAACATATTCATATGAGAGAGAGAGAATACAGGTGCATATCTAGTCTGCCTTCTGACTAAATCATATAGTACCACACTAGGCATGAACTCATTCTAGTTTAGAATAAAAACTGTTTAGTTTCCTTTTGTTTAGCACAACACACAAAAAAACAACAACCTCTAAATTACAAATATTTTACTGGAAACTGAATATCTACCTTGCCAAAGAAAGGTACCAAGTGGTGCTCACAAAGGGAAAACATATCAATATCCTTAACGATCACCATTTCGTCATGATCTTCATCAAAGATTGCACCATTGAGTATATCTGAAAGTACAAGATGAGCAGTTAATGAATGAAAAACTTTAACACAGGATTCTGCATGTATACAGCAACAAATGAGTACTTCTATAACCACTGAGCAACATCTGATGCATGACAAACAAACAAAATCCAAACCCTTTAAAAATAGTTTCCATCCAAGCATGTTCTTAACAGAGAATCAAGACAAGGTGAAATTCTAAATTTGAGCCTATTCCTCTCTTCATCTACAGCCATCTGGGAAAGTTCAAATCCTGATCTGGATCAAACCAACAAGATCAACGAGTGGCCTTTTATTTGTGAGGGTGGACACATTCCAGGCACTCGCTTAGCAAAGCAGAAGAGGCACTGATTTTAGAATGCAAGATTTAGGTAGCTTTGCAGCCTCAAAGTACTATACATATTGGAGTTCAGATCTGGCATCCAAGCTGAAATGGTAACATTTGCCATGAGATCTATTATTGTGATATCTCTCTTTTTCCCTTTCCTCGCTTGTAGCTTTGGCCTCACACCTACTATGCCTATATTTTGTTTTGTCAGTATATACAGGTATCCTTCACAGCTCCTATTCTTTTTTAGGCTGGTAACACTATTTTGCTGCCTCTTTGAAGGGGAGTTCAGGTTCAGGCCACCACCTTCACCTTTGTGAAAGTGGAAGGTGATGGAAGTCTGCCTTGCACACGCATGCATGGCCACAATCTACTCTAGGCCATACTAGGACTCCATGTGCTAGAAATCATGTACGCTACACTAGGGAAATGCTTAAGGGCTATTTTGCCTGGTGTGCATTTAGAAAAACGTGTGGGAATTGTCAGGTCCTGGAGAATAAAATAGGCCTAACCAGGAAGACCCCAAAAGAAGCAATACAGGCAAAAATCCACCCCCATCCTGTGAAGAATGGAAGAGATGGGTGGAGGTCTACTTCCATGAAACAGCAGTACTGAGTAGGAGGAAGTCAAGCGGTGATGGATCCTACATTCTCTTCTCAGCTCCCATTAAATAGAAATTGGCTTCTTTCAGAGTCTGGATCACAAAATGCTAGGGATTCTAATTCTGGCATTGTGAACCCGGAAAGAGGTAATTAGTTGTGTTTAGTCTGAAGTCAGTCAGAAGGCAGGGTAGATATGCACCTTTTATAAACTAAGTAAATAAGAGGTAGATATAGAGCACAAGATTTAGTGAACCTAAACACCATGAGCATTAATATGGTATTAGTCAGCTTTGGAGTTCTGGTTTGCAGCCATCTTTACTTACGACAGTAATAGAGCACAGTTGTAAGTTGAGCTGGGTTACTCTTTATTTTTATATAGCTAGGAGCTAGTTTCAAATTACTACTCTCTCCCTTTTTGCTGTAAAACATGAATTCTTCACAGAACTGGAAGCTGAAAAGGCCTAAGTAATAGGGCGCAAACACTTCTCATACATGTCCATGGCTGAGCTCAAGTCTTCCAAACAGAATTTGGAATAGTTCCGCATTTGGCATACGTTCACTGTACTGCTACAGAGCACTGTACTGCTACAGACTGTAGAGAGCCTTGGCCTAGCCAACACAGCCATTCACCCAGGCGTGCCACCCTACAGGTAACCACTCACACATGGCAAGGCTGGCCTGAAGCCTCCAACAGGGCCTAACCCCCCACCTCCCCCCTGTAGTGGGCTGTCAGGATCAGCTGATCATCCACTTCCCCTGTATAAGCTTCTGCACAACAGGGGTCAACCTGATCCTGCCACCAAATTTCCAAGCCCTGTGGCCAGATGACATGGTCCCATGCACTTGATCGACTCTGTGCTGGATTGGGCCCGTGGTCTGACCCATGTACTGGATCCAGTCCACAGACTGACCCCACACTATTCATTCAGCCTCTAGCCTGGAAAGGTTGGGCACCACTTATCTATACTATTTAATTGCTGTGACCCAAGATTCGCTGTACGTTAGAGAAACCCTTTAAGTCCATTTATAGCAATTATACTTTCACTTTAAATAGGGTGAAAATGAAGCTAGGACCTAGCCTAACTCCATCATGACTTGGTTATACTCCAGACACCTTAATATAGTATGTAACACTGAAATGTATTTTGATAAATAGGTCAGATCCATTTTCACAAAGCTTATTCTAGCAAGATACATTATATCCACAAAATTTAGAGTTGATAAAGAAGGCATGGTGATTATCATGTACCCATTCAACCTCAGGTGCAGAATACATTTCCTGCCATCACAAGCAAAGATCAAATCAGTTGAATTTGTCCAGGTGACATGAATCCAGAGACATTATCAAGATAGGAGTTCTGTAATATATATGTAAAAGCTACGTAAAAGTATCTACATCTCCCCTGTGAGAGTCAAATCACTAGGTGAAGTCACTCAAAACACGACATAGAACTCCGAAGATCTTGTTATACTTAAATGCCTATAAAGAATCATTAGCTTACTTAAAAATAGTTTATATGAAACTGCTTTGCCAGATTATTCAGTGCCATTTTATGATAAAACATTCTTGTAGGTAACCTATTCTTGATTCAAGTTGGCTTTGCATATACAGTCATCTACATATTGCCAAGCCCTGGAAACAGACATACCCTTCTGTTGTAGCATACCCTTCTGAGGTACCCATAATTCATTTATGATCTATACCAGATGAAGCAAGAGGACAAAAGATTAGATGTATAGAGATAGCAAATTAGATTCACAGAAAATTCATAAATATTCCATCACAAAAAAGTGTTTTGTCCCTACAGTTTAACAATTGCAAAATACTGGTTCAGGCAATAGCACAGTTAACCAACCCCAAATGTGTGGTACAGAACCAACCCAGGGGCCAAAGTAATCCCCTCTGTAAACTGTCAGAGCAGCAGAATCAACAGGACAGCAGATTGAGGACTAATACCATTCCTGTTCTTTTCTATCTAACAGCAGTGCAGTGAGATGATAGGAGACTATATATAGGTGCACTGAGGAAGATCAGAACCAGCACAAAGAAGTCGGGTATCTGCTCTTCATGGCTGGTAAAAGTAAATGTAGAACAAATGAAACACTCCTGGCCATGGCAGATCTAGGGTTTTGAAAGGGGGGGGGGTGCAAATGGCATGGTGCGTCAAATATAACACACATTTTTCTCTAGGTAAAAAGAAACTAGAAGTTTTACTAGTATGCAAGAGGCCCAAAGGAAAAACAAATACAGTTTTATTGGAATGTGCATGAAGTTGCTATAGCATATATTATGTATAAAAACACAACACATTAGACAAAAATAATGAAAAGGTGATGTTTCTTTTGTCCTGTTGTCTTTAGAATTAAATACACTTCTCTTTCAGATTCATAAAACCAAATCTGGCCTTCTTGAGCATTTTGGCAGTGCATCCAATGCTTCACTGAAAGAGATTACCACACCTGAGTTAACAATTCCACACCTGAGTTGATGTTTTTAGCTAGAGTTAAAGTCTGCAGGGCTGTGAAATAGGACCTACATTAAGAAAAACAGCTAATAGAAAAATTGCAAAAGAAAGAATGGCTTGATTAGTGGGACATCAAGACCATAAAAAAAAAAGAGAGAGAGAAAGACCTGTGGCATGAGGAGAATGGATCAGATAGGTTACAATGAGCCAGGAAGACAGGTGTCTCCCTCACTGCTGCCTGAATAAAAATGCTGCCACTTCCAGGCAGTTGGTTTTAAACTTTGTGTGGACCAGGAGTCAAGAGAGTATGCAAATGCACCTCCTTTGGATCCCCTCCCCACAATTCCTGGCTGATGTTACCAAGGTATCTGGGAAAGGGCAACCTGCTATAGAGACCCTGAAGCAGCTGACAACTTGACAAACTGTATTATGACTGACTGAATACAAACCTTGCGTAAATCATTGACTTTTTGCTCTGAGCAATTTTTAGTTTCCTGGGCAAGCATATTTATATTACAAAAAAAAGTGTAAAATTGGAGCCACATGTTTTAGAAGAATATGGAAGCAAGTGTGAAGACAGTGCACTTCTATTACAGGCAAAAGCACTGGGTGGATGGGATCATGCATCTCTTTGCCTTGTGCAGGTCTGAGTTCACCAATGCGGCTGACCAAATAATCCAGCAATAGTGAAAAAGCTATGGATTTTCAGTGATACTTAAAAAGGAACAACTGGTAGGGTAACGGGAGTGCTGATCACAGCAAAGTGTCTTTAAAAAGAAAAAAAGGAGAGGACAATGCTCATTCTCTAAACATTTAGGACCTTCTTGGTATAAAAAGTTATTTCTGAGGGAAAGGGTCCTCAATAAACAAAATTCTTTATCAAAACCTGTACCTTAAAAGCTACAATTGTTATCTGTGAAACCTGACACCATTTGATGGTACTCACTTGTCAGAGAGAAATCCAAATATGGAAGATCAGAAAGATGAATTTGTCAGCTCCCATCACAGCTATTAAGATACAGCGTAAGAGCCATGCAGAAAAGAGAAACAGGAAGGTAGAAGGAGGGAAAGATGAAATGAAATAAATGTCAAGAGTTGAAAGAAATATTTAAGTACCTCAGAATAAAACTAAACAATGTAATATTGGATCTAAAACCTTCCAACAAACACAGAAGCGCCTGGAACAGCAACAATCAAACTTAGTTTTATTTTAGGAATAAACTAGGTTCACACATCTTGGGTCTGCCAGTTCTCCTGTTGCCTCCAAGTTATTTTACATGTGTGACTAGTACTGGTAATAAATACATCCACCTGCACAAGTGTTCGCACACTCTCTACTTTGTTTTACAAAAGCCTGGTGACAGCGACTGCTCCCACTCAAAACGTAGTTACTATGCAAGTAGAAACGATATACGCACAATTGCCCAGCCTCCTGTCACTCGTCCTCCTCCCTCGTTCTTCTGTTGCCTGTGACTTCACAATTTGCATGGTGGTGGTGCAGAGGAGTCCCGGTCCTGGCGCAGGACACGGCTGTGCTAGGGGCTGTGCACACATGGAACATGAGGACGAGCCTTAACTGACTGGCACATCAAAAAAAAGTCAGTCCTCTGGTCTCATCCATCTGATCATTCCCTTATTAACCAGGGATCCTGGTTCTCTCAGATCAAAAATTGGGGATATTTTTTTTTTAGATTTAAAAAAGTACCCCCAAATCCACATTTTTCCATAATTAAAATAAAACACTACTAATATATAGATATATCTAAAGTGGTGTTTCATTTTAATCATGGAAAAATGTGAATTTGAGTAGGGCTGTTGGAGGAGGGCAAATCAGGGCAGCCACCCTGCGCTTTCGGGGGCCCTGTGGAGCCGGGCAGAGCGGCCACAGCAACTCCGTGGTGCCACCAGCTTCATGTTCGGCTTCTCAGCACCCCACCCACCTCATCCCCCGCTGACTTCCTCGCATCCAGGGACAGGGCCCTGCACAGGCTGATTTGTCCTGGGTCCCACACCCTGCTCTGGTTGCCTCTGGTTACTTCTTTTAATCTGAAAATTGGAGTTATTTAAAAAACGTCAGAGAAAACCAGGTTCCCTGCTTATAACTAACAAGGGAAATATAGTTTCCCATCTATGTTCTGCCCTGTGCCTGCGACACCTTTCAGGAGCTGGGAAAAACCCTAGAACATGTGAGCCGGAAGGGACCTCAGGAGGGCATCTCCTCCATCCCCCTGCTCAAAGCAGGACCAGGCCCACCTAGCTCATTCCAGCTAAAGCTCTGTCCAGCTGAATAATGGGAGGGGAAACTGGACAGCTTCAGAAGTGCTTCTTTCCGAAATGCAGGTGCCGCGGGGCTCCCCATCTGCAGGGGGGTGGGGGGATCTGCTGGGCTCACGCAGTTGGATGCCAAAGGGAGCATTCTCAGGGCAGAGGAAAGGGCACCCCCTTAACTGCGGGCCACTCACCCTCGGTGCTCTCCTGGTAGCCTTTAGTGAAGAACTCCATGGCCATGGCCGCCCTGCGAGGCGTAAGCAGGAGCCCCTGCCGGCCGGGGTCCTCCCCCAGCGCCCTCAGCACCACTTTGTAGGCGTCCTCCAGCTCTGGGGAGGCGTCCCCCTCGGGGCCCCGCTTGTCCGCGGGCAGCTGCCGCATCGCCCGCCGCCCCTCACAGCCCGGCGGCTCCTGGGTGCCCGGCGGGAGCGGCATGCTGCTGCCAGCCTGCGCGCGCCCGCCCGCCTTTATGCGCCCGGGCGGGGCGGGGCATCACAGAGCCCCATTGTGCGCGCAGGATGCTCCCGTTCGACACGGCGCCCCCGCCGGGGTCCCCTGCCCGGGAACAAGGCCCCTCAGCGGGGCGGCCAGGGGCTCCCTCAGCACATGAGGCTTGAGGAGGAGACACACGCTGACGCCTGCGGAGCAGGGGGGTGCCCAGCCCTTCAATAGAGGCATTATTCACTCCCGCAGCTCCCAGCCCTGCTGGGTCTTGAGGCAGGAAGCTGAACCCGGCAGCACATTTTTTTAATATATATTTTTTAAAAATCTTTCTCCAAGCCAAATCCGTATCCAGCTCAGGTGGGCACGGCCCCAACAGTCAACTGAGCTCTTTCAAGTTAGGGTTGCCGACCCTGAATCTCTTCCAGGAGGTTTCCGGAGCGCCGATGTGCCCGCGACACATGATGCGAATGTGCCTGTGTGCTTGCGTATGCTGGGTACTGATCACAGAGTGTAGGCTTCGCATCAAGACAGCAAACGCACATTGCTGTTACAATCCAGGAAACCCACTGGACTACTGTATAAATCAGACTCAACGTTTCCTATTTATCATAATGGATGCCCTATCATTTCTCTCTTGGGTGCCTCTCAGCAGTCTCCTGGAGGTGTATGTCTAATTCTTGGAGACTCCAGGGCAATCCTGGAGGTTAGCAACCCTAGCTCAAGTCTGCGTGGCTGTGCCACCAGGTGAGTACAGGTTTCCCTTGCCAACGGCAGGGGTTAGGTTCCTGAAAGTTCCCATGATTGCCAAAACCGTGGTTGGCTTATGGGTGGTCATGCATCATACCGTGGTAGCCAAAATGGTACATAGAATATTAAGCGTGGATACTCAAAACTGTGATTGGCAAAACCATGGTTGGCAAGGGAAACCTGTACCCTCCTTCCCACACCCATCCAAAGCCAGGCAGGCATCTTACCTGCAAGCCTCAGGCCTGGAGGCCTTGGGGATCAGGTGCCTGCTGCCTCACTTGAACTGAAGCCAGCAGCAGATTGTTTCAAGCACTGCAGGCACATCTACATATTCATTAATGTGCCTTAGTTACTGCACATTTAGTTTAGTACTTCTTCAATGAAGTACTAACTAAATACACAGTAACTAAGTGAGTTACTGCACAGTAGTGTGGGCGCACAGTTATTTTGTGGTGCTTACTGTGCATGATTTTCAACTGCTACCCTACTGCGCAGTGTTTTATTAGGCTACTGTGCGGTAAGTGTCTCGTGTAGATGCACCCTGCTTCTCAGCCAGCTCTTGGGCTGCCTTGAGATCCTTTCAAGAGTGCTCTGCAAGAATAGCAGGATCTCTTCCAGGGATCGCTTGAGCTTACATTGGTAGCATTTCACAGAAGCAAGGGAGGAGCTGCTGCCACCCCTGCCTGAGCTGCTTAGAAAGGTGCAGGGTGAGCTGGGGGCTCTTGTCTCTTATGGGGGGGCTCTTGTTTCCCATGGGGGGGCTTTCAGGGGGCTCTCATCTCTTATGGGGCGGGGGCTTAGCCCCCCTGAGCCTCCCCGTATTTCGAACCCTGAGGTTAGGTCTTGTGTCAATAGTAACCGTAGTTTTAGGAAGAATTTAGATTATGGATTTATACAGGATGGTTTAGCTAAGGGTGGTCCTGCCTGAAGCAGGGCGTTGGACTAGACCAGGTGTTCCCAAACTATAGTACATGTACCCCTGGGGGAATGCAAGACATCTCTGGGGAGTGCGTGGGAGAAATTGTGTAATGGCAGATTTAATTTTCATTATAATAATTGCCATTTAAGGGGTTAAAATATAAACTGTACACTGGTAGGAAACAGTTGTAGTTTCAAACCATATCCCCCCATCTCCCCTTCTCTGCCATGTGCCCTGGTGTTAGACATGTTGAGTTGGTTCCTGTCTCACCAGGTGCCAACCAAACCAATAGGTTGCTGGTTTCACTAATCATTTTAGTCATTGCTTTGAAACTGTCAGCAGTGAACTTAGTGTAAGACAGTGAAGTGAGGACACAAAATGCTGTAACAGCAAATTTGCTCAGTGAATAAATTAAAGAAGTGGATGTGACACACGCTGATCCTGGATTCTGTCAGATGAAACTTTTAGACATACTCCCTGGGTGTATTCACACCTTTAGGGGTGCCTTTCAGCCAGATACTCCTCTCTGCTACACAGGTCACCTCCCTGACCTATTGTACCTCAGCTTTATCCACTTCACCTAGGTCTTGCCAGCTGTTATCAAAGGGGATCTTGCCAGCTAAAAGAATCACACCCTTATCTGCTCATATGCTCAAAAATGATAGATTTCCCACTTCCTTGGAAGAGGCCCTTCTGTTTCCTCAAATGCTCTGACATCACACTTACCACTGGCAATAATAAGTTATAAAAGAAAACAAAGGACTGATTATTAAAACAAGGGCAAATGTACGAAATCCATCACCTGATGTTGAGGCACAGACAGAAATATAAACAAATAAACAAAGGAAAATATCAGAGAAATTATTTTACCTTATCCCTGTATCTTAGCCCTAGGCTCTAAAAATGCAGTTTCCACCTCTCAGCTCAATAGGCTAGAAAGCAGCTGCTGCCCGTGATCTTCCTGTCAGGGTTTCCTGCAACTTCTCCAGAACACTCAGCCTGCAAGTTGAGGAACTGAAGCACCTTATGTCCAGGAAGCTTTAGATAAGCGCTTACTCCTATGGCAAGGCTTAAGTATGATTTCTTATGGGACTATTTACAGACATTATCCATTGGATGCTCAGGGAGCCCATAAAATGCAATAGAACTTGCCTTCCAAGGGTGTGCCTGCTTATCAGACCAGTAGTCTCTTCTGATCTAATTATGACTATGGAAATATTTACATCCTTTCAGATATATCCTAAGGGTGCCATCTCTCATTCAATTTCCCCACTGTGAGAAAAACCCTTTGTGAATAGCCTGTTTCTAAGTGTTATTCTTGCCACAGGCCTCTCCTTCTAAAATGTAAATTCACTATTGCCTGGTTTATGTGCCTTAGACCACATCTGCAATTTGACTAGCTACTACACATACCCATGTCAGAGGCTAATTCTCAGCAGATGCTAACAGACGTTAACCGCGCCCCCCCAAAAAACAAACAAACAACCCCCCCCTAAAAAATACCCTACACTTTACAGGAAGAAGCAGCATATTAGTTTGATCCTGCTCCACAGCATCTGCATAGATTGGGTGCCTCAGTGGGCCTTTTGATACTTTTATCTAATAGCTAATTAAATCAGCTATTAGATAAAAATGCCAAAAATCCCTAATAAAGCGCCCAATAGATACAGACATTGGGCAGCTGGGTCCAACTAATACGATGTCTCTCCTGGGCATGTGCTCAGCTCAGCATGGGAGCGCACTGAGTTTAAAGTAAAGTACCATTTTGGTTTTGTTGTAATGTCTGTAAGCAGCCAGTGATTATATCTGTCAGCCATTTAGGCTTTGACCCTCTCCTGGGTGCAAATCCCAATGTTCAAAGGTAACACCTAAAAATCAGGTTATGCAATCCTGGCCTTACTATAACATCTAAAATCCATTTCTATCAAATACCATAATACATATGAACATAAGGCTGATAAAGTTTAATATAGCTTGATGCCTCTACCTATCTGTACAGCCATCACCATATCAGTAAAACAAATCCAAAAAACGTGTATGATATTCCATGAACCACTCAAAACAGGCTTGGGTCCAGAGGGAGTGCAATAGCAAAGATGGACACTTCCTTTTAGACTGGATGGCACCATGGGATCCTCTGGGAACTTTTTCAGAATCTTGAGACCAGGCAAAAATCCCCCTCAATTGTTAGAGGCACCTCCCACCCTTCCCCTTCCCCTACATGCTGCTGCTGTCCTAGGGGTAGCTGAAGCTTCAGAGCTTAACTGCCACTTTAGTCACTCAAGTCCAACATGTAAACTGTTATGTGACCACTGATTATTAAGGGCAGGACTTTGTAACAATAGGAAATTGCTCATTACAGCTGGGCTGCACTGGGCTGGGCTCAGCTGGGACAGTGACAGCCGCAGCAGGAATGTGGAGGGGATCACAGCTCTGCCCCAGCTCTGCCCCAGCTATACCTGTGCAAGATCCCAGCCCCAGCCCCTTAGCAGCTCCCTGCCCAGCCATGCACCCTGCCAGTGCTGCTGGGGCTGGCTTGTATCCATAGAAACCTTGGCTTTGTGCTGTCCAGCACCACCACTACTGGGATCTCCATGGAAACTGGCTACAACAGTGCAGGCAGGGGCTGGTAGGAAATGGAATCTGTCATGGGCCCAATCTGGCCCACAGGCTAGAATTTGCTCGTTCCTGTTCTATCTGTTATATACAGCTGACAATGCTTGTTAGCTAATGAAGTCAATGGATGGCAAGCTTTAGAAACTCATATCTAATATGTTACTGTTATTTCTGACCTGCATAACTTGATGGCATATGCAGAGCCGTTAGTGACAAAACAAATCAAATGTAACAAGTGTGCCATCTGCTACTTATATGATCAGGAGCAATGGGATCACAATATTCTGATGTTTGCATGTCTGCAAGTGAAGTCAGTCAAATAAGTAGGGAATGGGAAAATCATTGGCAAAGATCCTTTGTAATCCCATACACGATACACTGTTTTGGTGAGAAAATACTTAAGTCTCTTACTGTTCAGAAAATACCAAAAATATAAAAAATAAAGCACCCATTTCAGCAAGCACTCCATTTCAGGAGGCACTACTTCACAGTCAGGGCAGCTAGGATCTGGAACCAACTTCCAAGGGAAGAGGTGCTCGATCCTAATTCGGGGGTCTTCAAAAGGAGGCTAGATAATCACCTGGCTGGTGTCATTTGACCCCAGCATTCATTCCTGCCCATGGCAGGGGGTTGGATTCAATGATCTGCTCAGGTCCCTTCCAACCCTATCAACTATCACCCTATCAACCATCAAGCACATGGAATTAGTTTTCATGTATGAATAGCACAGGACTACAAAACTATGCAAATGTT